CCCCCCCCCCCCCCCCCCCCGGTCAAGGTTACCCATCCTGCCGTCCGCGACCCCTGCCCCTCCCTTCAACTGTCGCTTACAGAACCATTTACTCACCCAGGCCACGGCTCTTTTTTACTTCCGCAGGAGGGGAAGGGGGGGGGGACACACCAACCTCCCATGTGGCCGACAACCACCCGTTGACTTTCGGCGTCCCGATTCGTCCCCATGCCACCATGTGGTGCGACCATCTTCAGCACGGAACCAAGCCGTTTTTCACGGCACGGGAACGGGAGCTTGATGGTTTTGGGGAGATTTCTCCAACCATGGAGACGGGTAGTGAGGGGATAGAGACACGAACAACAAAGACAGAGAGCCAGGGGTGGCTGGTATTACAAGTACATGCCAGGCAGGGATCACGAATTACAGTCCTTCTCCCCTCCGACTTGCTCCCGTTGAGATGACGACTGTCATGATGCACTCGTCAGCTCATTCATCCATCAACAATATACGCACTTCGAAATCATTGGTCCTCCCAAACCTAGCCGAGAACCCACTACGATACAGCAGAATATGGCAGGGGGAGGGGAGAGGGGAGAGGGGAGAGGGGATTAATTGGAACAAGACGGCGCACGAGATTGTGGGTGAGAAAGAAATAGAGATGTTGATCAGACGATACGAGAGAGTTTGGAATCAGCCCGAAAGGCCGATCTACACGCAATCCCATTCTGCGCACAGAACCAAAGCGTTATGTACGCGAAACCTGTCGTGGATGTCGCTGTATCTGTTAGAGTGAAGCGCCAACCCACCTCCCATAATAACAGCGTTATGCGGATTCGCGCCGCTTAAGCGCTGCTGCCACCACAGGACACTCGGTGAACGCCCGTTCCAAGCATACACGCATTCAGTCACAACGCCCGTCCCTTTCCTCATCGACCAATCCCCCTTCCCCCTCCTGGTCCCCTTCTTCCATTTCCTTGCTCTGTCTTGCGAGCTCTTGGTGTTGCGGCAATCCCGTCTCCCCCCCCCTCTTCCCGAAATCTCGAATGATGACCTCATGCTGCCGATCGGGAATGCCGGCAGAGCCTTTGCTTCATTCAACATACGCAGCTGGGGGTGGCGCAGGTCACTTGGCAGCCATTCATGTATGTAAAGGTACCTGCGACCCTAAAACTCACCTATTGGGGGCGGCACTGGGGACGGTAAGACGAAGCGCCATGCGGCGCAGCGTAGAGGACGCATGGACAGAGCGAAGCGCACAATGCGACGTGTTCGTTGGGAGACAGTGGAAAGTTTGTGCATAGTGTAGCATTCAATCCCAACGATGACACGGGGGTCATGATGGTCGTCAGTTCTCAATCTCTTGCATTCCCTCCCTTACCCCCATTGCTATCCCTCCTCCCTGCCCCCCACCCCCGAATCCAGTCAAGTGTGTCAAACTCTATGCATATGGCCAGCGCGCCAAGGCGCTGCTCCCGCATCCGGGGGGGGGGAGGGGAGGGGGGTCATCACCTGCGAACAAGTACCTCGAGACCCCTCCGATTGCTGCCGGCCACCGGCTACGCCGTCCCCGTCCATTCCCCGTCTATGCCCGCCCCGCCCTGTCTGGGTTCGTTTTTGGAACCTCTTGTCCACCGCGGCCAAGACAACGGAGAAGAGCGTTGGAACAAGAAACGTGAGCGGACCAACATAGACGAGATGCCTCCACGCTTCAGCGTGTCCAAACCCCTGCGACTGTGCAAGGGGTTGTGTAACCCTCTGAGGAAAGAAAAAAAAAACCTATTCCAGATCGTACCACCCCCTCTCGATACGTGCAGTCAGGGTGAAAGCAGAAAGTCTATGTCTAGATAGAGCACGCGCAAAGACACACCAGGAATACATGCAGCGTCATGGAATTCGCAGGACAGGGATAAAAAATGAGGAAACACAGATGGCATTTCGAGCTGATAAGATAGACAAAGTGGAATCGTAACAGAAGAAGCGAAACAAGCTTAGGTATACTGTAGACTCTCAGTCTTGTATCAGGACTCTGTAAGCTCTACAAAGCCGCGAAGCTCAGGATAGCGCCGGACAAAAGTCTCGTGCATGCGCCAATTTTCAATCCGTAGAGCATGTGCGGCAAACGTGTCGTTGAGCCACACCTCGCCCGTCGTCGGGTCCATGTTGATCGCGTCCACCGGGCGACCTGGCCAATTGAGGAGACGAAGGCTATTAGCGTAGATGTTCTGAAACTCTTCTGTGGCGTATACATCCTGTCGCTCAATAATGGCGTCGCGCAGAGGACCTTGCAGCACAAAGTCCACCCATTGTGGGTGAGGGACCGTGAGCTGGCTGGGTCGGGGGGCGTAGTTGAGGACGAGGGCGTTGTAGGACTCGCGGGTGGGCTGTGCCAACCAAGCCACGACACGCTGGACGGGGAGGAACAGGGCGAGACGCTCCACCACATTGGCCATGCCGGCCTTATCGACGAGTGCCGTTATCAGCTCGGCCAGAGGGTGCGGCGCGGCGCCTGAACCGGCACTGTTCACGTCGAGGGCACGTTCGAGGTCGGCAATGTGGATTCGCGGTGCTGGGTGCGTTGGCGAAGGCGGATTATACTCGAGGAGTGTCTTCAAGTTGACACGCGGAGGTCGGAGAAGCGCGTCAATGTTTTTCGTTTGCGCGAGCCGGCGGCAGTCGTGTGTGAAACTGATGATCCACTGGTCGGCAGCGCAGGTAGGCGCTAGGACAAGGGACGGCATTTCCCAAAAAGACGTGCCCGGCTGCCGAATCAGTGGGCTGACGGCTGCTGCTGGTAGTACAGGGCCGGGTACATATTCCATGGCTCGTGAGGCAGGTAGCCGTTGGCGCCCACCTGGCTGCGATGATGCGAGAGAGGGTAGCCAGCGTCTGCGGACTGGGTGGTTAGCGTCTCAGGATTGCGTTGCACGTACGCCGTTGGCGTGCGTTGCTTACCAGAGTCTACATCGTCATAATCCATCTTGGCGGGGACGCTCCTCGCTTCCATCATCGGTGCCGGGATGCTCGTTGGGATGTAGGCGCCGCCGTACTCGTCAGTATTGGCGGAGGACGACGGGCTCGAGACGTTGGAGGGCACCGAGACGCCAGGACCCCACGACTCCGAGGCATCAGGGAGAGGCACGTAAGAGGGTCCCAGCTCGGGCATGCCGCTATAGCCACCTGACGCCGGGAACGGGGATGATCGCGGGCTCGGTATGGCCCCGCTGACAGAGCTCAGTTGTCGTCGTAGACTGGGCATCATCATCATCGTGTTAGCGAGTTGATCGCTGGGCTGGGGCTGCGCCATGTGGGCGTGTTGTAGGTTCATGGGGAGCATACCCGAGTTGGGGTACGAGTGGCCGGTGGGCTGTCCTGCGGCCTCCCTGAGGCGGTAGATCTCCTCCTCGAGGGCTCTATTCCTCCGGGTGAGTTCTTGAATAGTCTGCGACTGGTCTCCGCCTCGCTCGCTTTGCAGATCGGCGAGCTGTTGCTCCAGCCTCTCGATGTGTTCCTTGGTGCGCGCGCGAATGGCTCGCTGGGCCTCTCGGTCGTTGGCTCTCTTGCGCGCCAACTGGGCGGGGTTCAATGTCGAGACGCTCCTCGTGCCTGAAGAGTTGTTCGAGTCAGTCTTACTCCATACCATCATGATGCGGTCGTGATCCGCCCGTGGGGAAGAGCTCTCTGGTGCGGGGCGGATGAAGAAGGATGGAGGAGGGGGGGGCTGCTTACCCTTTCTCTTGGTACCCTTGGCGGGCTCTGCGGAAGAGGATCGTGTCATGGCGAGCAGTTCTTTTTATGTGTGGATGTTCGTGCGGGTACGTGTTCGTATGCGTGCGCGTAAGTGTATTCGCGCCCGTGAACAGTGGGTGGTGGGAAAGAAAAAAAAAGAAGACTGTGAATGGAGAAGAAGGGGTGGGGGTGTGTGGTAGAGGGCAGGTGAAAGTGAGAGGTCAAGTGAGGTGAGGTGATGGAAGGTTGGGTCGCAGGAGCTGAAGAACTTGGAGGTTATCGAGCGAAAGGAAAGAGGGGTTCTTGTTCGTTTATGTTGTGTTGAGGTTCGCGGTATAGGTATATATGTGTGAGGTGACGGTGCCAGTCGTCGTACTCTACTTCTGGGGAATACCTTACGTTTACGGGGTGTGCGGCAGGGGTAGGCAGTCGGGGAGGACCCATTGGCATGATATAGATCGATTTATCAGTGTTGAGCTTTCTGCATGTACATACATACTTGGTAACAGGCGTACTATGTAGGGTCCCCGGTGCCGGCCGGCAAAGGGGTTTCAGGGCGAGAAGCGCAGATGGTATAAGTTCCTGGTACAAGGGCTCATGGGAAGGATGCATCCGGCGCAAATGCTAGCTCGCGTCTGAGATGGGTCTGACCATGGGCCATGGGGAGAGGAAGGGTGACGACGGCGACGGCGACGACGGCGGCGGCGACGACGACGGACCAAGTACCCTGGAACACAGCCCTTCCGTTTGTACCTGGGTACGTAACTAGTACTGTACTCTAGTGACCGGGCTGGCCATCACGGCACCCCTTGGGCTGGCATCATCATGACAGACAGGTTAGACTGGGGACCAGGCGCAAATTGCTAACCCACTTCGAGAACTACACACAGATGCAGGGAACAGCTGGGGAGTCGTTCGGGTCGATGAGCTCTGTGGTGACGGATGGATCGTTCAGGGGGGTAGAAAGGGGGGGTGTTGGGTACTGGTACCAGGGGAGGGAGGAGAGGTTACAGTAAAAGGCAAGGTCATAGGAGTTTGTTGCTACGACGTACAAAGTCCCGTTAGAGCCCTGATCCTTGCTAAGATCCCTGTCTTTATTCGGTATAGTGCAGAACGGGGCCTCCCATGCTGCTTGGTCTTCGACTCTCGAGTCCCAGGAACCCTCATGGAAGGCACGGCGAGGAGTGACCGGGGGGCCAGGAGGGGCGTGCTCGGGGGTGTGCGACAGGCCCAGAAGATGAGGGCCGGGGTGTGTGTCGATGAAAGAAGAATCTTGATGACAACACTGACCCCCCCCCCCCTCCCCTCCCCTTCCCCTGGACCTTGTAGCCCCATCGATGTCACGGTCGGTGATTACTCTGGCTCGTCTGGTATGTCCTACCCTTCTCTGATCCGTCTGGCAGCGGGTCGCCTGGCCAGGGGGGGCCTGTGTTCCTCAGAGAATTAGAGTTTAGGCTACGCCGAATTCGTGTAAAACTCTGTTGGTCTGATGTGCCGCTAGAAACACTGGGTAGATACAGTGGAGTCGCCGTGCACTCAGGTTGTGTTGGTGTCGTCTGGAACGGACCTTTGGATCGCACCGCCTGCCCATCAGACTTTCGACGGCTGCTCAGAGAAGCCGTTTGGAAGCAACCTGATGACGCTCTACTGACCCGAAGAAGCAGAGCAGGAGCAGGAGAGCACGAACGAGGCAGGGAGCCAGAACCAACCAGTAGCCAGCGCCAGATTTGCCCGATCCTTCATCCAAAATCCCACGGCCTCCTTTGCCGAGGTCTCGGAGAAACAATCCTGGGGGGTTAGGCTCCTAGGACAACCCGTATCGATCAGCTCAATGTATCTCGACGGTATGCAGTCGATAAAACACAATCACAACATACGTATTGTGCAGCCGTCCAGACCGACGTGGGATCAAGCACACACACACGCGCACACACACGCTATCACCGTCTCGAGTGGCAAGGAAGGACCAGAACGAGACAGAAACTCATCGGCGTTATGCCACTGCCGATGAACGAGCGGCCCAGCGGCATGGAGCTCAGCTCAAGTCGTGTTGCCGAAAGAAAGACCGGTCTGTGTGCAAGTGAGATGGAACATAATGGCGGGAAACGCTTGGAGATACAGGCAGCTGAATTCGACTGCACTGCATCGCGCCGTCCGTTTCTTCATTGCGAGGAACAATAACCGAGACCAAGGGGATGAAATACGCCGTCGCCAGCCAGTCAGCCATCCAGCACCAGCCAGACCTATCCCTCCGTGGGTACTTCCGAACAGCGACGGCGACATGTCCGCAGAATCTCCGATCGCACACTCCATGTGAGGATGGAAGGCGAACAAAGGACGCGACCAAAGCCGCCCAGCTGGCCCTAGGAAACACAGAAGGTGAGCTTAAACCTGTGCTTTAGACTACCCGCTACGGAGAAGTATAGTGATTTTGGGTCTGGCAGATGACGATTGCCGACCTCCTTTTCCGTTCGCTACCTCTCAAGCATCGCGAATAACCCAAATGTTTTCGACACTGTGTCGTCACCATTCGGCCATCCCTTGTGGCCGTGCCTGTCTCCTTGCTTCACTCTCTCGACGAGCAGTCTGTGCCGCAGTCCTCGATGGTGACAAAACATCAACCGCGGTGGTGGGTACCAGGCTAGTGGTTGTGGAAGGCGAAGAATGAGTGCAGTTGGCATGTGCAGAGTCTTGCCGGAGGCATTGAAGGATTCTGGCAAACGTGATGAACAAGGAACATTGTGGTTCGGAAAAGCTGGGCAGAGGCAGCCGTGTCGGCCAAGCTCAGCTTGCGCCCAGGGAGAAATGCCGAGCCCATCCAACAACTGCCAGACCTGCCAGTGCAGATCATCTCCCATCCCCCGCATCTACGCAGTTCTTGAGCCCAACTACCACTGCAGCGACAAGGCTTGACAGGAGAGAAAGCCATTTCAGCAGAGACGAGACCGAACTAAACCCTGTGGTCGACAGACTTGAAGCTCCTTTGGAAGGACTAGAAAAGTAAACTTCACCTGCCGAGCTTTGGTAGCAAAGCGAGCTGAGCCCAGGGTGTGTGTGTGGGCATTAAGCCTGCCGGCCTCGCCGGTGCTGTACAACGCTGCGATGATTTACCTCGATGCACCGCCCAACCCGTGTTGTCTACATCAACACTCATTCACCACTGCACCTGCCGGCCATTCTACTCTTTTTACGAGATCAGTGGCGCTGCGTGCCGACTCGAATCGATCGCCGCCCCATCTGCGTGCTGCCCGACTCTCCTTGTCCTCAATTCTAGGCTTCCTCAGCCATCAATCAGGCCACTGTACTGTCATCCGGGACGTGGCCCTGAGAGAGTGGCGGTCGAACTCCACAAAGCGCACCCGAGGTTGTGGTTAGGTGTACATGTACGCGATGTCCGGTGGGCGTTGTCAGCCACACGAGCCCGCTACTCACCTCAATGTGAATATGTGCTTGATTGAGCCATCTGATACAGGCAGATGAATCCATCAGCTTGTCGGACGAGCCTCGATGCTGACGACGCTGGCGACTTTGGAAATCGGAGTGATCGATGGAGCTGCAGCCGTTGGTTGAGCCAAGGACAAGCCATAAGCTCATGTTCGGGGAGGTGGAAGAGACAGCGGACGCGGGATTACGCACCACCTGATCCATCAGGTGTTTTGGGTCCGGGCGCACAGGGTACGTACCGGGGTACGTCGGCCACACACGAGCGTGGAATGCGTAGTACCGAAGCGATGGGTGGTTGGCCCAGTCCCCCGGCTTGGGATTTCTTTCAGACCCCTCCAACAGCGGTCGCAACTCGGACTTGACTCCGTTTGCGGGACGAGCTATCGGGCAAGGCATCAGCAGGTGATGTCCTGGTCCGCGATGGCGGTTGCGGCACACAGTAGTCTGCGTGACAACTCTTCGTACCCAGTACTGGCCGGGTGGCTCCGCAGTGGCGCAGTGGCTGTCTTTGCCGCAACAAAAGATCGGGCCAGGCCTACTCCTTCACGAGGGCGAGTCTGCTAGGTGCTGCGGAGCGAGAAAGAAGCTGAGGAAGAGACTGAGCCAGCAGCGGAGATAGCCAAGTGACTCTGGTTCGTTGGTTTGGGGGAGGGGGCTTGGGTACGTTGTGCGGCGCAAGCTCCGTAGAACCACCAGCCACTCAGGAGCGAGCTTGCAACGCAGCCAGCCCAGCCGACAGGAGCCAAGGCAAAGATTTGGCTTTCGGAGCATCGGAGCCTATGAGCCCCTAAAATGGCAGCCGGTGAGAAAGCGGCGGCGCCGAATCGTAGCAACTCCAGGTCATTCTCAAAGCTGGTCGACATCAGGGAGGCTGCGGTGTGAGTAAAAGACATACTCCACAAGTCAGAGGCCTCGCGAAGGTGTGATGGGATGATATTCTATTTCTTTGCTTTGGATTCCTAAGTCACGTCAATCTGCATGCAGCAAATGGACACACATCAGGCAGGGAAGCAAGACGGCCTCTACAAGGTCAGATCGACTGGGTCATCCTTGACAGCTTCCACAAGTTCTCCCAGCCCGCCCACCGCTGTCGGTCCACTCATGCCACTCGGTGGAAGCGCCCAGGAAGGCAGAGGACTGCAATAACTCCATTTACCTCCCGAGTCCTCGTATCGAAGACTGTGAAGGAACAAAGACAGCTCCTGATCACCTGGGTCCGTGTAGAGCGGCGTGTCGCACGTCTTGCACAGCTCACCAGAGAGCTTCTCAGCTCTTCGTTTGTGGTACAAATCCACCATTTCTTCGTGGTATGCTACCGCGTCAGCAACTTCTTCCTTGCCCATCTTCTCGAGACGCGACATGATATCCTCATCCGTGTGCGTGGTCCCGTCATCGTTACAGCCGAGATCGAACCCCCAGACTCTTTGGTTGGCGTATATCGGGTCGTTCTGGATGGGATAACCAAGGAACTGCAAATGCACGCGGATCTGATGTGTCCTGCCGGTCAGGGGCAGACAGCGGACGATGGAATAACCCTTCTTGGAAGTCCACGGGCGCTGCTCCTCGTCTGCGGCTTCCTCGGGCGTCTTGGGTCTTTGTTCCGGCCCCTCGTCGACGTCGGACGACGCCGGAGGGTAGTAGGCCAGGCGCTTGAAGACGGTACGAGCGAATTTGCCGTTGGCGCGGACACGGTTGAGGCCCAGACGAGGTGATATCTGCAGCAGCGGCTGGTCGCAAACCACCTCGCCATCAGGAAAGTGGCCGATGACCCGGGCGACATACTCTTTGCGCACCATGCGCGCCTGTATTTGACGGCTTAGGTCGGTCGCAGCTTGCGCGGTCTTGCCGAAGCACAGGATGCCACTCGTCAGACGATCGAGCCGGTGACAGGGGCGGGGCATGAAGTGCGCACCGCGCTCCGACTTGAGGATCTCGACAACCGAGTTGAAGTTGTAGCGGCCGGCGGGGTGGACCGGAACGCCCGCCGGCTTGTTGACGATGAGATAGTCATTGTCCTCGTGGATGACGGCAATGGGCTCCGCCGTGACGGGCGGCTCGTGGCGATGGGAGGTGTGACTGACTAGATCACCGTTTCTGATGACATAATCGGCGCCAACGACTTTGCCATTGGCCGCAATCTTGCCATCGTCCATGCATTTCCGATAGTACTCGGGTGTTCGGTCCCGGAACTCGCAGGAAAACACGTCTATCAAGGTGCGACCACGCCAGCGTTCCTTGCAGTAGGTGTTGAAGGTGTGATAATATGGTTTCACTTTGCGCAGGCCGTCCTCAATGACGTAGGGACGCGGCCAGGGTCCTTCGAGAGGGGTGATGATGATGTCCGGGAGAGCATTGCCATGATCGGGTGTCCTCTTCTTCTGCTTCTTTTCCGTCTTCCGAGCGGGCGGCAGCGCTGTCTGCGCTGCCTCTGCCTGTTCCACGGCCAGCTGCGAAGGCACCGGGTCAGGGGGCGGCGTAGATGTCATGGGCGAGGCGACAATGGATCGGGTCAACCGCACGAAAGGCGCCAAGAGACGTCCGAGGGCAGCCACTTTGATGAGCGGGGTGGTACCAGCCTTGTAAGGACGGACCGGTCGATGCGCGTGATGGGTTGATGCGATAGCGCGGCAGACGACGGTGACGCTGAGCAAGTTGTTTCGACCTCTACTCATCTCAAACGGCCGTTGAGGATGCGATCTGCGTCGGGAGTCAGAAAATCTTGGGCGGTGAGTCGCGGCAGATTGGACCGGTCGAGCCTCGCATGGTCTGTGCACGGCATTGCCCCCGCTATCCCCCTCGCCGCCAAACCAACAAGCCTCGGTTCCGGCTCATCATTTGTGGCCTCAGCCACTATATCTGTCTCGAGTCGGCTCCGTCCCCTGATCGCCCTGTGTCACCTGCGGAGGGGAGTGAACGATACTCTACCGACACGCATAGTGCCATTCCCAGGTACATGTAAACCGTTTGATTCTTAATCACTATCTGAATGGTTTCGGGATCTACCAGTCTAGAAACCTGGAAGAACCGCCCCTCCCCCCACCCTTCTGCCCTGTTCCTCTTCTCTTGACGTATCAATTTCTCGCAATTACCCACCGCCAGTCCACACCACCATCGGCCTTGTGTGCGCTGTCCAGCGAACACCAGACAACAGACCACGAGACCATGGCTGCCTCGCACCGAGAGCTCAAACGGCGCCGCCGGCAGGACTATCACTACATTCTTGACTACCGGACGCGATGGTGGGTGCCTCTTCCCCATCCAGTTGTTCCATGGACTTGGAGGGGGGGCGTGCAATGAATAACCATGAGCAATCCAGGGCCGATAACGACATGTACCAACACATGAACAACTCTGTATACAACTTCTTGTATGACTCGGTGGTCAACACCTATCTCATCGAGCACTGCGGGCTCCAGCCGGCGTCTTCCCCGCAGCACGGCGTGGTTGTGCATTCGCACAGCGATTATTTCGCATCCATATCATTCCCCGCTGTGGCCGAACTGGCCTTGCGCGTTAACAAGCTCGGTAAGACGAGCGTCACCTATGAGATTGGTCTCTTCGAAAAGGGTATTCAGGACGTCAGAGCCGTCGGGGAATTCATTCAAGTGTTTGTTGAGCGCTCCACCGGCCGGCCGGTGGCCTCCGGTATGAGCCTCGAGATGCGCCGCGGTCTGGAGCGCATCCATGTCGGTGACCGGGCCGGTGCTGATAGCCCTGCCGGTGCCGTCACAGCGAAAACCACCAGCAAACTCTGAACGGATTCACTTTATTCGTCTCCTCCAACATGGAGCGGATACGAACCCCAGAACGCCGCATCGTTCCTTACTGGCCACATCGTAGCGATGCACGTCAACGGGTCGTGACACATGTCCACACTCTCGAGAACGTAGTACTTAGCTCAGATGGCAACGCCGTTCAAAAAAAGCAAATGCATATCCTATGAGATCGCACAGGATCGCTGCCACCAAATATGCATGCCAGTGAACCCTGTTACGCTGTTCATTGGCTCCCCGAAGCTCCGAGACACACTGGTCGTGGTCGGCGTTGTTCCCGATATGCGGCCGGGCTGTCTGCGCCATGACTCAGGACTATCTGCACGCTACTGCGAGCTGGCATCGGCGTTAAGGTCTTCCTTTCTTGCCCTTGGCCCTGGCAGCTAGCTACTATGTAGGTCCCACTAATCACGCCGATGCCGGCAGTGGGTACGAGGTGAGCCAACCAGTATGCGCATTTGTTTCTAGTATGCCCATTTCATTGGAGCGAACAGTAGCGCCGGCAGATTCCTTGGTGGCAGATGGACCCAAGACCTCTCTCGGCTCCAGCTCGAGAGGAAGTGGGGGGGGAGGGGGAGGGCGTCAATGGATGAAGAGAAGGACGAAACTGGAAGTCGCGGCGAAGGATGCAGAGAAGAAGCTTGAACAGCGGAGCCTCAGGCGATCTGCGGTGGCCCCGAGGAGTGCCCTTGGGGCCCGAGTTGTGGGCATGAGGAACACCGTGAGAGGGGCGTGGAGTGGTGTCACCACATCACCGGTGGATTCTTTGTCTTACACACAGATGAGCAAGCGACGTACTTCCGACTGGTCAGCGCAAAAAGCGTTTGAGCCTTCCGATTGCGAAACAAGAAACGTGGTCTGTCATGCAAGTAGCATTCAGTCTTGGGACTTCGGCAGACTTGAACTCTGTTTGCAACACTCCGGGCCAAGTACCGGAAGTTCCATCCATGGGCGTTCCTTCCAGAAACCTTCTGGCGGCCTCTAGGGCTTCCGACCTGTTAGCACCTGCAGCTCATGCAGCTCCTGCAGCTCCTGCAGCTCCCTGCTCCTGCAGCACCGGAACGCTTCCAAGCCCTTCCAGAAGGACGAGCGACTCAGCTTGCCGCCCACGCCGGCTGCTTGGCAAACGGCCTAGACGGTGGACACGCACCAGTTCTTTTGATTGCTATTCGATCTCGCAGAAGACTGATCTTGAATCTGTGCTGCTACTACCACCTTCAAGGTACCTTGACCGCCCACCCTCCCGACATCCGTTGGCCATCGTCGTGGTGTTGGTGGGTGGTGAACTGGTCGTGACTTTACTATGACTGGCGGCGTCTCAGCTTGATGTATGAACCGCATTTCCGGTCGCTTCTGATCGCAATTGGAAGATGAGGACATTTGGGGGGGGGCAAACCGCACAGCGCGGCGTCGCACGCCTCGTACCGCTCTTGCCAGTTGCTGGACACCCTCCCACGCCATGTCTCAGCTCACCATCCTTCACCGCCGTTGCTCAGCCCACAGCATCCCTCACACTGAGCGAGCCCCAGCCCTAGCCCGAGCCATCTTTTTCTTTCGACGGCAGCGGCTGACATGGCCTGCTCGACGCATCGCAGGAACCCTCTTCCCCCCCTGGTTCATTAGTCAGTTGTACATGGTATACGTCGTGAATGCATCGCATCTTCCCTCGCCACGTAAGGTACCTTCCCACCATGCATGATATTTCCTCATTGAGTTCGTTTGCCACTCTCTCTCACCCCCCGAGCCCCGAAGGAGGGAGACGGTGCGCTTACGATGGACACGTGCTACGCTGGCCTTTCTGCCTCCGCCGATACGTATAAGTCAACGGTACCCGACGGTGGGCAGCGGCAAGGGGTGGAAAACGTGGCCGGTACACCATCTTGCTGGTCGGGGCTGGTGTCTGCCCAACCTGCCTCCGCGGCGTTAACCCCTGTCGCCCCCGCTTGGCATCCACGTTTTGTTGTTTTGAGTGTGTTCATCACTTCCTCATGTTGGCTTGGGCTGCGTCTGGCGTCAACGACTCTCCATCTATGTCTCTCTCGCCTGTTCGTTCGCATAGAGTGTCGCTGTGGCCTCTGGCATTTATTTTGCTTGGTTTTATTTGGAAACCATCCTCTCTAAGCACGGGTTGATGTTCCATGGAACCCGCCTCAGAAGAAGTCAAGTCTCTCTCTTCTACGAACCAGACTGGACGAAGGGCAGAGCGAGAGGTAGGAAGCTCGCCGGGGGTCAGAATTTTGACATGGGCTGTGCAATAGAATGCTAAATGTACAGCGGCGTGAGCGGGCGGAACCCGCTTCGACAGACCGGATACCGCGCACGTCAGCCTAGGATGCCTGGGAATGCTTGATCTAGGAAAGCGCATGACCCGATATCCGATCAAACATCCTCGTAGGGCCGGCCGCAAGCATATGGCCTTCAGGCTACCCGCCATAAGCGTCTGTCGGTCGGTCGGTCTGTCTGCATTGTTGCCTGGCCTGTACTGGGCATAGTCCCTGCCCCGTCGCTATCAACACCACCTCCATCGAACTTGGGGAGGACAGAGGATGGAAAGGGCGGAGACAGAGGTGGAGGCTGCGCACGGCTATGTCATCTGCATTCGCGCCATCCTCGTATGCGCTTGCAAAGCCTGTGAGGCTGGCGAGGTTGTCACAGCCCATCGTTGCTATCCTATCCTTTTCAAGCCAAATATGCTGTGTACCTTAGGTACTCACTCACACACTGGCCCCGCCCAGCGCGGCACAACTTCAGAGCTGGCCTCGTCTCGCAACACACACGGTGCCACGTAACAAGTTCGTCGACTTGACTTGGAGCGAACCATCTTAGCCTCGAGCCTTGAAACCTCTTCTGTGCGCCTTGCAGTTCTCTCCACCCATTTTGTCTGGGCGTTGGCCCACGCTGCGGACTCGTCCCTCTTCGTCCGCACCATCGTGACCCCCTCGTCCTCATGCCTGACTCGGCCTTTGCCTGGTCCTGCCAGAAACAACATGGTATCTTGTCTATCGGTAGGTATCTGGTCTTTAGTCTCTGGGTCTCAGGGCTTAGCACCATGCGCCTTGTCGCGCCTTTTCACGCTCGTCCGTTCAAGGTAGCACAGATGAAGTCACGTGTAGCCAGGCATACCGCGCGTAGCCGGGCATAGCGCGACAGTCGCCTACCTGCACCTACATAGGTACCTAGCCACGGGCAACGGACAGCTCCCGGCGGCTTGGCGAGACAGGAGTGCCCCAAGGCGTGCTCCGAGTGCGTGCATGGCTCCTTCCTGTGCCGGCCAGGCGACTGTGGGTAGGCCGGATGCCTTGTACAGGGCTGGCGAGCTTCGCAGGGAAGGAGCTTGCGGCCTAGGCCTATGCGGTAGACTCGAGGCGGCGTTGCGAACAGCCCTGCGGACATAGAGTTCAGGTGTCTCTTGTGCCCACATCATGATGGACCAGGCGGGCTGGCAAGTCTAGCCTGCATAGGTGCCATCTTGTCATCTTCGTACCTGCATCACGTCTCGAGTGCTTCAGAGCCTTTCTTGGGTATCCTGGGACACAAGCTCGCTCGCTCACTCCGGGGTGGCGGCAGCAAATCGCGACCTGTGCCCTCGACTTGGACCCTGCATCTCCCTCTCTCTCTCTCTCTCTCTCTCTCTCTCTCTCTCTCTCTCTCTCTCTCTCTCTGCCAGCAATCACGAGGCTCGACAGGCGGGTTCAGGCAGCGGGCTTATGGCTGTACTGCATGCAGTGAGCGACCTTGCCAGTGGCCATTCTGAGGCAGGCAATTCCATGCGCCTTGTGCCAACGAGGAAGAAAGAGCGAGTGATTGCGCGACCTCACCGCGATCTCTGAGGTGCGGTCGTCATCTGGGTCTGGAGCGAAAGGGTATCGTCGGCTGTGATCTCTCTGGGTTTCGAGGAT